CCCGGCGACGCCGTGTTAACGCCACGTTGCATCCCGGCACACGAGTTAGAATTCACATTGATACTGATGCAATAAAGACACTATGGTTTTGCTCATTCACCTTTTGTATGAAGCCAAGGTATATACAGTATGACCAGTATATTTAGATGTATGTGTTTATGTGTATACGTGTGTACTTATATGCGTACACACAACACATTTGTGACAAGAGAAAGGAGGCCTCCGAGCATCCTGTATAATTAATGTTCTCTTCTTTTCTCAGCTGTGAGCTCGAGCGGTGACCTCACACCCGCGATGTCTCTGCTGAGCGTCAGCGCCGTGGTCTCCGTGCTCCCTCTCGTCTCCTAACGCCAGGCAAAGGAGAATACAACACAGAAAAGACTTGAAGATGCACAACGTTTTTATGGGCATGAATTAGCGAGTAGATCAGCTGTGTTCCAGTCGAAATATCCAAAGCGGACGCCGCGCATTCGCAAATGTTTGAGTCCACTTATGAGTGATGCACGGAAGGTAACTAAACAAGAATAATAAGTCAGCTTCTTCTCCTCCGCCAATTTATTTACAATAACAGGAAACTATACTGTCCATTCTCATCTACTTAAAGACGCTATGTGAGGACATTTTCTTTAAGAGATCTTTCAAATTATTATGATATCTTGTTTGTAGAAAATTGTGTTTGCCAAAGTGTCTTTTTAATACAACCAGCAGGTGGCGCCAAAGTAAGACATCCCTGTGTTATTGTGTATGAGCCAGTCATTCCCAAAGACATGTTCAGTCATCTAGAAACGACCTTTTTCAAATACTCAAATTCAAATTTACATCAGTTTGTGGCGTGCAGGGGAAAGGATTTATTTCATACCGTCAGCAGTAGGGAAAGTACATTGTGCAGGAAGTGAGTGTTTATGTGTAAAAAGGGCACCTTGGGATATTAATTATTTCAGATTCATTGCGAATCTTGGCGTCACAGACAAGTGCCCACGTTGTGAGATATGCAATCATTTTTTAATCATTTTCATCACTTCCATGGTGGTAACAATCATTTCAGACTCACTGATTAATTGAACACGATGCTTGTAAAGACGGATAATATGTGATGATTTATTGTAATCCTGCCAATAGAGTACGGTTCTGTGAGCATGGTTCCTTATACATTCTCAATGTCAATCTTATTATGAAAGCCCTCAGTGTTCTTTACTGATGTTTTGGATTATTAGCAAAAATAGGCCTCTTTTGCTGCCTTTTTATGTACAAATGTACAGTCGTTTTCTGTAACTTTGGTAGTTTATGTCATGACCTTTTTTTTTTTTTTTAAGTGTCTTTGTTTTGATGTTTCAAAAACATGACAAAAATAAGTTTTATTCTTTGAGATCAATGCCACCGATTATTAATAAATGAATAAGTTCTCAGAGTCACTGCGGGTGGAGTTTATCTGATGCACAGCGTGCAGCGAACGCCATCTGGGGCTGCAAGGCGCTCAGTGGTGGAAGACACATTTCACTTAAAGGGACAGCGTGTGGCCTTCTGGGGGATTCCATCTTTAGTAACGACAGTAAAATCCAGTAAAAAGTAGAATATTGACTTCTGAAATGCAGTTAAGTAAAAGTAACCTGTAAATGGAATCACTCAAGTAAACTACAAGTACTTTTCACCACTGAAGAAAGGTCAAGTATACATAGTTACCTTCATAATCTTTACAGCCTCACAGACAATATATATCTGTACATATATAACATTGAATTGGCATAAATTATAAAGATTGACGTCATTCTTTGTCACCCCGCAGTGTTTTGTTCTTGGATCAATGCAGCTGTCTCCCAGCAGCGTATTTCCAAGGAAACGATGTGCCTCATTCAGTCCACACCTCGTGATTATGCTCAGTTATGTGGAAGTTGCTAAATCTATTCATGTCAAGTCCTTCCAACATGACTTAGAGGCGTTTATATACGCTTTAGTCATCCGCCGGCTGTCAACGACATTTGGCAGCAGCTGATTGTGGAAATGAAGGAAGTTGAGTAATTGCCTACAGTTGCAATTCAATTTATAACCTTTGTTGTTTTGTAGTGTTTGCGTTTAATATAAGTTACGAATGAAGTGGTTTCGACAAATTTATAGATTAGCGTTCAACGTTGTTGCCTTGCAAAGGACTCACCCTCCTAATGCCGGGTATTTTTTGTCACGTTATGCAAGTTAAGGTTTTTTGGCTACAGTTACAAAGTGTTTTCAATCACAACGAGGAACGATTTAACCATCACGACAGAACTAATGTTACGAGCGGTTTCTCGACATTCAAGACAAGCCTTTGAATAACCGCGGCGGTCCCGCAATGATTAAAGCTCCACTCCTAGAATCCCTGATGGGAACACGCCTGTGTAAACCGGGTGCCACTCGTCAAAAGGCCTCAGGAATGCAGGAGATAGAACTCATCTCATACTCAGAGCGGACCGACACCAACAGAAAAGGCACATGTTCCGAGACAAATAAAGAGTTGAAAGAGGTTTTTGTTGCGTTCAGCTATTGATATCGTTCTCTTGTGAGTTGTTAAAATGACAAACTTTCAGCTATCTCCTATTTTTCCAAAATGTTACAATCATTACTGCATAATATATAAGTTACCCGTCGTAGTAACGTCTTTGCCAGTTGGTACTAAAATCCACTGATCTCTCTGATCAATACTGATCTAACCGTCTACGAAATTCATGTTTTTCATACAGAAACTGAAGCCGAGCATCTTGCGGTTCACTTGCGTTTCAAATTCTTACTTTAAGTTGCCGTTCCGCTCACACCAGCCTAAAAATAGGCCCATTCCGAGCATCTGTTGCTTATTTGGTCCTCTCTCCTGCGCTTGACAGGCCGTTGAGTCACCGCTCCTCGGGAGCTGACTCACGGTAAAGTTTAGGTAAGACACATCCGAGGTGTTTCCTCGCTGGCGTGCCACGCAGCACGCCGGGCCCTCGGGGGCCACGTGGAGGGACTCCTTCGTTGGAATGAAAGGAGCGGCTGTGCTGCCATAGAAAAAGGTGTGTTTGAAGTTGCAATTGTTGTAATTATTGGGGAGAGTGCTTCCACGGCAGTCTTTGAGATGATTCACCTTTACTTCACTTACACTGTTCCCTAACATTCGCACTGCTAGGTGATTATTAACAATAGTTAGCAACACACGGCTGTTATCTTCATCATATCTCTCGTATCAAGTTTAACCCTCCCCAAATGTCAGTTCTGCCACATCGTGCTGATAATCGATGCAGTAAAGTTTTGTTTTCATGGAGGTGTTGAATCAAAAGGGCCCATCGGTTTTTTGGGGAATAGTTCTGCTTCCATGACCCGTGATCACCGCCGGTTACTTTCACCTGAGCCGCTTCTGTGCTTTGTGTTCGTTGGGGATCGGCAAACGATGCGCACTACGAGGACGAGCAAACGATAAACAAAGACGGGTGACTTTGGTCGTCATGACACCGAACGGGACGAGAGCCAAAGCTGCCCCCCCACTCCGCCGCCCTGGGTGTGTGCAGGACGCAGGCCTCGCCTGAGGGTGGAGGAGCGAGGTGGAGGTACCTATTAGCGTGTTGCGAGAAAGGGAGACGCTCTTTTACGATGGACAGTTGGCTTTCAGAGCAATTCATTCGCAACACGATGACAATTCACATGTGATTGTTAGCAAAGGTTTTTTTTTTATCTCGCTCACATCAAGTTTAATCCCACCCAAAATGTTCTGACACTTAGTGTCGACATCACGTATCAACAGTTGGCGCTTTGGTAAAGGAATCGCTCTGTGACCCGGTGACACTCTGCTATGACTGGAATGTGTCAGAGTCGGATGGTCACATTCTTCTTCGGTGCGTTCAGGGGGTTAAATATTACGTTTGTTCCAAGGGATTCCCTCTCTGGGTGCTGCTGTCGTCCCTCCTTGTGTGCACCGGTCACACGCTTTTCATGTTTTTCTGGGTGTGAATAGGATCCCACTTACTTTACTTTTGTGTACCACTTCTTAGTTTCTGGTGGGATTAACATCCACTATTAAGAACCTCCTGATATTGGCCTTTCTTCTCCCTATAGAATCATACTAAACGTCCCACTTTACATTACTGAGCGAATCAGTGCACTGTCTTGAGTTTTCCTTTGCACATTCGTGCTCCCAGGGGAGTAAACCCTTCTGTTATTCTCCACCCAAGAGACCCAAGCTTCTTCAGTTGTACCCAATTAAGATGCACGTTGTTTGTTGTCACTACTCGCCACATGCAATAATAAACACAGGAATACAGCCTGATGCATCGCGTGTTACGTGATTCCGAAGGCACTGGACTCTGTGGTTCGTAAGGACGTGTAAAGGTTTACAAGGACGGCTATCGGGTTTCTTATCAGACTCGTTTCTGTGTCAGGTCAGAGCCACAGTCGAAAGATCAAAGTCAAGGTCGATGAGTTCTCTGTTAGTTTTCTTTCTACTCGCACGCATATTTGGTTTTAGCTGCACAACAGGCTAACTGCTTCAGCAGCTATTTGGCTAAAGTGCAAAGGCTCGCAAAGGCCATCGTGTGAAGAATTAAATGTGATATTTTTTTAATGTTTTTTTTTTATACTCCACTACATTTGTTTCAGAGATCTTCCATTCATAACAAGGAGGAAATTGTCGGCTGCACTTGTTTCTTGCTCTTCTGATTTTGTACCCCTATGATTGAATGCACTTATCGCTTTGGATAAAAGCGTCAGCTAAATGACATGTAATGCAATGTAATAACACATGATTGTATCCCTGGGGTGTAGGTGCCCCCTTTCACATTTGTTTTATCTATTAGTTTAGAGCAGTCCCAGCAAACAGAACATCTTAACCAAACTAGTAACCAAATAAATGAGGAACTATACCCCAAATAGCAGTATAGCGAGAGAGAGCCGACGTGCCGTGAGGCGGTGTCGCTATGTCCCACGGCCCGTGAAGGCAGCGCCTCGCCGCTGGGGGGGGCGGTGTTAACAGCACGCAGCAAAACCTCCGACGCGCGCGCCGCCTCCGTGTTTATTGTGCTGCGCGCGGGCCGCTGTGGCGCACAGAGTGCGGGGCAGAAGAGAGCGAGAGCCCGCAGACACAGAAGCAGCAGCGGCAGCACGACGACGACGACGACCGTCCGGCCTGCCGCTCGATTCATTTATCGATTAAAGTGGGATTTTTCCACCCGCACCGCGTCGACGCCGCCGCCGCCGCCGTCGGACATGCCGTCTCTGCGACACTCGTACACGGTGACGGTGCCGGAGGAACCGGCCGCGTTCCCCTCAGACAAGCCCGAGCTGCGGCGGAAGAGCCCGTCGCTGTCCCGGTCCAAGCTGGTGTCCACGTTCATGGGGCTGATCATCAACCAGGCCAAGGTGAGTCTCTCCCCCCCCACATGCATCGACCCTATCGGCAGCTTGTTTCAATTATTATTACTGTTTAAGTATACATGTAGTTTTACAAGAACTATATTACACGCTGTGTGCGCAGCCTTGAACAGGGGGGGGTCTGACTGGGGCTTCGTGCTATTTAAATAAGATGTTTCTTTTTTTTTTAAATATTGATTTCCAAATGTATTTATTTTAGGCAGGAGACAACTTCAATGTTCTGGCCTAAATATATTGTTTGGACTTCGAAGTTTGTTTCTCGGAAGTTCTCAGTTTGGACCGTAGATCAAGTAAAAAGCTGACGCTGACACTTATGTGGAGAATAAAGAGATGACATGAGATACATTTGCACTTCTGCTCTTGTTTCTTGCTCTTCTGAGTTTGTATCCTTATGGTTGAATGCACTTCTTGTAAGTGGCTTTGGACAAAAGCTAAATGACATGTGGTGTAATGTAATACAAGAGGTCACTTTAAGGTCATCGCCACTTTTTGGGGCAGATGAGGAGACTTTTCTTTTTGCACAGAAATGACTGCAGCCGTTAAAAGAAAAAAAATATCCCGAATCCTCAAGTGTCTTTAGGTTACTTCTCATCTCCATTCTGCCAAATGGGAAACCGACTGTGACCTTTCAGGCCCTTATCTGCCCCTCAAGTGGTCAATGGAGAGATAGAGAGGGGAGGTGTGGGGGGGGGCGCTGTGAGCACAATTTCGGGGAGTCAAGAACAGCAGCTGCCTGCATCAAAGCAGCCGTTGGGGGGGGGGGGGGGGGCCATTGCGTAACATGGAGCTCCCAAAAAGGAAACCAAAAGAACCCCGTTTCACCTGGCAAATACCTTGTGTGAACACTCGGCCTGCGCGTCCTCTTGGCTCAGCCTGTGTCCTCTGAAGGGGGAGGCGGGGGGTGGTTTATTATTGGTCTGTGCTCTCACTGGTATGCATACTTTAGTTTATTGTCTTCTCTTGGTGTAGTCCACCAGTCCCATGCAGTTGTTGGTGCTTCCCGGCTGCATAACTTTGCTCTGGACTGAAACATCTGCATCATCTGTGATGGATTTCTGTGAATTTAGTTAAATGCATTCACGATGCCGTGGAGAATAATCCTAAATGACTAGTGATCATCTGACGTATTGAGATGTTGCAACCACAAAATCTTTGCGTCTTTGCATATTTCTTCTTGTTCGTGCTGGTTTTGTTGAGGTACTCCCGGTTAAACGCAGTGATTCTCCGAGATGGTCTGAAGGAGAGATGAGCTTGAACATACTAGAGCCTGCTTCTGTATTTTCTTTTTTCTTTTCTTTTATCTTTCGAACACTTCAAGAAGCGTGCCAACACTCCTGTGACATTTTGGACGCCTCCCAACAGAGACGCGTGTCTTCACTCTCTCCAAGGGAGTGGCATAGCTGCGCGGGACAGTTGCTTCCTTCGTCACATGTAATTTGGCCTTGAGCGAGGCACGCAAAGCCTGTTGAGGACGCTGTGCCCCCCCCACTCCCCTCCCCTCCTACCTCCTTATCTCTCCTTTCTGAAGTCATCTCAACCAGTGGACGGCGTTCAGAGATTACCTGACTGCAAAACCTCCTCAGGTTTTTCTTCTGTGCATCACAAGCTGCCTGCTGAGCGTGCCGAGTGACCACCATATGTTCACCTCCAAATACGGCAGGGAGGAGGAGGAGGAGGGTGGCGGCGGGGTAGCATTAAAGGAGGAGAAACATTTAGGATTAAAGCCATGAGCGCTGTAGATATTTTCACAAATTCTCTTTCCTTCGTCATTCTGGAGCAACGTGTCGAGGCACCAAACCTCCTCAGCTGACCGAGCAGCTGTCCTGCCTGAACGTAAACGTTGCTGCAGAGACGTTCTACGAGACGAGGACAACCGCAACGTTTGCTGCAGATTCCTCCAACAGAGAAGAACCATATATTTCCATCAAACGTTTTAACGGTGTGTCGCGTGCTTCCGTCATTGCGTCATCGTTTTCTCCTCCTCCCGTCAGACCGCTGAGGCGCGACGGTGCGTCTTTGCTCCGTGTCATCGAGTTACACTGTCACTTATTGGACACTGTGTTAAGGAAGGATCTTGTTTAGGCCGGTGGGACACTTTTTTTTTTTTTTTTTACAATGAACCGAACTGAGCGCTGCCTTCTCTCTCACGTCGTGCTGCGTTCCTGTTAATAATCTGAAACACGTGTCATTCCTTTTCCCTTTTTGGTTGCATGTTATTAAGACTTTTGAGGCGAACATCCGGGTCCCTGCTGCAGCTTTCAGAGCCTCACATCAGTGAGCCCAGCGGGTCAGATCGTATCGTGCCGCACAAACCACATGACGACACCGCGTGGCGTTCTCCAGTTTCCCAGTCGACGTCACGTGCTGTGTAGCGCTCTCTGA